CCCCAAACCGAGCCCTGGGGAACACCACTTGACTGGTGACTGGTTGCCAACTGGATTTAGCTCCATTCACCACAACTCTCTGTGCTCGGCCATCCAGCCAGTTTTTAACCCAGCAAAGCGTGTGCCCGTCCAAGCCATGCCCAGCAGCTTCTCCAGGAGGATGCTGTGGGAGACAGTGTCAAAGATATTACTGAAATCCAGGTAGACAACATCCACAGCCTTCCCCTCGTCCACCAAGCAGCTCACCTCGTCATAAAAGGAGATCAGGTTAGTCAAGCAGGACCTGCCCTTCCTGAACCCATGCTGACTGGGTCTGATCACTTGGTTGTCCTGCATGTGCCGTGTGATGGCGCTCAGGATGATTTGTTCCATCACCTTCCCTGGCACCGAGGTCAGACTGACAGCTCTGTAGTTCCCTGGGTCTTTCCCGGGGAACAGATTAAACTGTAACCATACTTAGTGCAGGTGGTGCTAATGCTTTTTTAGGAGGCTTCTATTTTTTACTGCTGTTTTCCCATCATCTATTGCAACTGCCTCTGTGGGCCTTTCTCATCCCCAGCTCGCTGCCTCCCTAGTTCTTGCATAACTGATGAGGAAGCAACACCAGGAAATTGAGGCCGCCTGAAGGTGGTGTGTTGCTGGTCTGCTTATTTCTGTCACCATTGCCTGGCAGTGTCAATTTGAGGAGAACCTGAGCTATTATCATTGGTTTCTTTCCTCCTCCACTAGTTAACTTTCATGTTGACTTATCTTACTAACTGGAAAACCATGTGTTGAGTCGAACTTTTAGGTTGCATGTTTAGTGGTGAGAGTGAATAAGAAATTAGAAATAAGTATTTTCAACTTGTTTCTGAAAGAGAGTAATTTCTTATAGCCTTTGGAAACAGTTTCTAGCATTAACCAGTCTGTTTACTTGACAGCGTGCTGCCTTAGGACCAAATGTTACCAAAATTACTCTAGAATGTTTTATTGCATGGAAGAGAAGAAAAAGACAAGAAAAAATTGATAAGGCTGAACAAGATATGGAGAGGAGGAAAGCTGATTTTAAAGCTGGCAAAGCATTGGTGGTATGTTCTGCATTCTAATTCTTAATGTAAGAGGAAAGAGTAAATAAGTTTTTGTAATAAGGTAGCTGGCCTGGAATTGCATTGCTTTTTGCTTGTTTTTTCTTTTTTCCTTTTTTTATTTTTTTTTTTTGCAATATGTATTCTATCAATTGATAAATTAAGATTTTGTTTTCTGTTAATAGATTAGTGGACGTGAAGTATTTGAATTCCGACCAGAGCTGGTTGATGCAGATGATGAAGAAGCAGATGACACCCATTATATTCAAGGAACAGGAGAAGATGATGAGGTAAAGAACAGTATTAACTATAGTGTCTCAAGCTACATTCAAGTTTGAAAACTTCTAATTCGAGAACTCTTTTAGTGCAAGTAATAAACTCTGTTCTTAACAGCTACAGAGTAGATTTTGTCAAAATTCTGGTATCAAAAGGAAGATCTAAAACAAAATTGTAGAAATCCTGCAGAAATGAGTATTTCTGTAGAAAACTAATTAATGCAGAACATCTTGGTTTATTTTTCAGATGGAAGACCCCATGTGCATAAATGATGTGGATTTGAACCTCTATGTCCCAAAGGCTGTAGATGAGACTGGTATTACTGTGGCTAGTCCTGAGCGATTCAGCACATACAGTTCAGTAGAAAAAGATGGTAAGTTCATTATTTAGGCATCACTAATGTGGGATTGAATTGTTAAGAGCTTCACGGAAGGTAGATAGAAATGAATTATTGATCTGCTAAAAGTAAATACTTGTTTAAAAGGGCAAGGGAGTGAAATAACTGTTCATGATACGTGTAAGAAAAAGCTTCCAGGAAATGCTATGCACTTGTTATTTTCTTAAATTGAAGTTTAAATGAAAGATAGTGTTTATGGCCACTTCCAGTAAATCCTTAAGATGCTTTTTTTCAGTAGCTTACCCTTTTCTTCTTTCAGATTTAGTAAATGACTGAATGAATAATATCAAGAAAAATCCAAGCTTTTCATTATATTTTCTAGCTAGCTTAAGTTAGCTCCTAATTTCTTAGAGCAAAGTCTTGATCTTGGTGTGCTTGTGGAAATGCATACCTTGCTGGTTAAGATCCTGTGTCTTAAGTGTAGACACTGAGTAGGAGCAGCTCATTAACTTTGACCTGGTTATGAATATAAGAGTTTGAGGAGTTGGAGGTGGTTTTTTTTCCAAGCTGTTTTAATAACTCGTGATCTAAACTTACATATTAATTGGGTACATGCAATTAACCAATGTAAGTCTACATAACGTTCACATAGAGTAACTTCTTTATAGTTTCACAAATTTAAGGCATGTTTATTAGGATTGTGAATTAGTGATTCAGAAACTTGTGATACTGAAATATGTATGAATTATTTTTATTTTCAGAGAATAAATTAAGTGAAGCTTCTGGTGGCGATATAAACAGCTGTGAGCAAAACGATTTAGAGGAAGATAATGATGGAGATGGGGAGTTGGAAAATGGAGCAATTGATGCAGTTCCCGTTGATGAAAACCTTTTTACTGGAGAGGACTTGGATGAACTAGAAGAAGAACTAAACACTCTTGATCTAGAAGAATGAATTAAAAAGCTTAAGTGAGGAATTTCTGTGACAAAATGAAAACTGGCTACATTTCTTCTTTTTGAATAGAATTTTTAAACAGGATGGTTATGGTTACCCAGCTGATTCTGATCATATACCAGGAATACTTTCCCTCAATCTCATCTGCTCCAGTCTTGACTATGCTCATAGTAAAAATATTCAGAGTAGTTCAGAATTACCGAACAGGTGAATTTGCAGAAAATAAGGTTATAATGTTCAACTAAAAGTAGGAAGTGTAACTGCCTTGCCAGTATGCAAGTAAAGTGGGCAATTTGGTACCAAGTACAGTAAAAAAATCAAAGTATATGTTGAAAGTATATGCACCAGAACTGCATTTTTATTAGTGATTGTGTTGATTTAGAAACTGCCTGCAGTGTTTTTGGGCAGTGTGCTCTAATGGAGCTGATGCAGATTATGCTTCTTTAAGTGGTGATTAGCTTTATTTGATCAGCTGGATACTGAAAATACAGATTGTAAACTGATAGATCATACAGTAAGATACGGTGGCCTCTGTTTAAAATGTTTTAAACTTTCCCACTGCCTTTTGCCAACCAAACTGTAAATAAAAACTATCAACTTTAAAACACCTGTGTTGATTTTTCTCTGTTAAGTTAGGATATCGTGCCAAACTGTTAATAACTTCATATAAACACTTTCTCTCCAGTCCTGATACAGAAGTGATGTTGGCTTCAGTTAAATTAAAGCTAACTGCAATTACAGTTTTTTTTCTAAACTTCATACAGTGTAAACCTCAGTAGCTGACTTTTTCTTCTACTGTTCTTACCTCCTACCCATCCATTAACTAATTCAATACATGCTATACATCACTCATTGCTATTTGAGTGTCATTCTTTCCCCATTGTGTTTTCTGTATTAGCGAAGACTTCAAGATCTGCAGAGCAGGGACGTTAGTCCGAAAAATGCTTGTTGTATCTCTGGTGTTCTGTAAATAACAAGAAGTTCTGCAGTATTAGGTTACCTCAAAGCGAAGCAGTGTTGTATCCCTTGTTGTATGGCCTGTGGGCAACACTTACTGTCGGGCTTGAAATGAAGTCAAGGTGCCCTTGTACACTTCATTGAATCCCCGCCATAAAAATTTCGCAGTAGTGGTGCTTTTTCCAGGGGCTATATGTTACGCTTCCTTGCTATACTCCTAACAGTATCTGCAACAGTATTGCTGTACTAATGTGATACCATTTTAATCGATTTTTCTAAAGCTGTTAAATTATTACTTGCAGGCCGTTAAGATTTGTGGTATTGTTAGTGAGCTTTCTCAAACTGCTTTTGGGTGGTAATATTAGCTGTAATGGTTATTTCTGACACTGCTGAATTGACTCTTGTATCTTGAGGTCTTTTTCTATAATAGCTGACTTGGACTTTTTTTGACATTTTGGTATCTTTGGAATTTGTTTTCTCCTGTAGGAACAAGAGGCAATGTTTGGAAGAAAGAGGCCTACTGAAATTGACTTCTAAATGTAAGTGTTTAAGGAAAACTGCAATATCAGATAAAAATAATTATTTATGGAAATTTTTCTCCTATGCCTGTAAAAAGTGTTGACAGAATATTGTATTATACTGGTCAGTAGTAGGATACCTGGATATCAGGACACTTAAGAATGCAATTCATATTTGAATGTATGATGCATAATTTTTTATAGCTGTATATTTTAAGTGAGAATAAAAGTAATTTGATTACTTAGGGATGAAAAAGTTTCTATTGTGTCTTAGAGGCTGGTATATTGTATGTAATACTGATTTCTATAATACTGATCTGTTTCACTGATCTAAAATGGGTAATCCTCTGCCACAATTGTGTCAATGTTGTTAATTATTTGCATTTTACAGTGGAGGAATGATAGAGTAACTCATACTAATTTCAGCTAATAAAACACCGAGATGGGCAGAGAGTGCATGTATGTTCTTTTGGGTCTAAAAGGCTCACTTGTGGTGCATAACACTTTTGTGCACGTGTCATATAAACGTTGGGAGAGTCACCTTGCATAGTACTTATATATGTTGGATATCCAGGAGTTAGTTGAAGAAAAGCTTATTTTCATAGTAACTGACAGTAATTGATAGTAACATATGGTCAGGAAAAAACAGCTGTTCCTCTCTGTTTTTTACCCTTTCCTCTCCCTTTCCTCTCTAATTACTCCCCATCTCTGCCTGACTGGACTTGTAGCTTCTTGGCTTGGTTGTTGTGTCTAGATTTGTAGCCATGAAAGAAGGGTGACTGCTTTTAAAGAAGTCTTTGCTAGTGTAGCTTTCAGGCATACCTTAAAGGATTAGTAGCAACATGCTATCTTCAAGCAGGAGGAAGAAGAAGCAGGCTTGAATATAACCTGTTCAAAGTTCTTGATCTTGTGAGTTAAAGAAGCCTAAATTTGCAGCTGACGGGGAGTTTCAGTCAGTAAATAGTTAAAAATGAATGCAAAGGCTTTACTTGAGGTAGATGAATTAATAATATTTCGGAAATGAGCACTGTGATAGAATGGAGTCCACCTGAATGTGACTTACCGCTGAGTTGTTCTATTGATGCAAGTTTACCAAAATTTATGTGATATAAAATGACTGAGTCCCTTATGGAAAAATGAGATATAATCTGAATCCTAAAATAGCAGTATTTTCACTTCAGTGACTGTCCAGTTTGTATTGGTCAAAAATACAGTATTTCACTCTTACAGGAGCAGGAAGAGACACTTGCTGGGTTGAGGTCAGGCTGCAAAAGATTTTAAGTCAGGGAAGAAACACCTCTGCAATAAACTTCATTCCTGTCCCTTTGCAGTCTGCACCACTGGTTGCTCAGCTTGTTTTTCTCATTACTTGAGTACTATGTGAGAAGTGTGGTGTAGCTATGGCTTTAACATTTCATGAGGGAATACACTAGTGTAGCACTCTGCCTTCACAGCACCTTTGTTACTGGACACATGTGTGGACAAAACCAATTTAAAAAAATGCTGCAGAAAACCCACACCTTTCCTTCCTCGTGTCTGTGATATTCTATGCTTTCATTGGTTTTGACTTGATACCAAGTAGAGAAAGTGAATATAGAAAGAATTGATATATTTTAGTTTTGAAGAACACAATATCTCATGGATTATGGGGGCTTCACTGTGCTTCCCATCTCTGTCTTCCCGCACAGGGGGCTGGGTACCCAGAGTACTGCTGGATTTCCTACTAAAGACTGAGGCAAAAAGAGCATTAAGTACCTCAGCCTTTTCCTCATCACTGGTCACTGTTTCTCCCCGCATCTACTAAATGGTAGAGAATCTCCTTCGTCCTCCTTTTGTTGCTAATGCATTTATAGAAACCTTTTTATTGTCTTTAACAGCACTAGCTAGCTAAAGTTCCAGCTGTACTTTGGCCCTTCTAATTTTCTCCCTGTACAACCTCACAGTAGCCCTGTACTCCTCCTGAGTTGCCTGCCCCTTCTTCCAAAGACCATAAACTCTCCTCTTTTTTTCTGAGCTCCAACCAGAGCTCTCTGTTCAGCCAGGCTGGTCTTCTTCCCTGCTGACTTGTTTTCCAACACATGGGGGCAGCCTGTGCTTGCACTTTTTGAAGAGTTCCTTCTTGAAAAGTGTACAGCCTTCCTGGACTCCTTTACCTTTCAGAACTGCCTCCCAGGGAACTCTGCCAACCAAGTCCCTAAACAGGCCAAAGTCTGCCCGCCAGAAGTCCAAAGTGGCAGCCCTCCTCCTTACTCCTTCAAGGACTGAAAACACTATCATTTCATGATCACTATGCCCAAGACAGCCTCCAACCATCACATCCCCCACAAGACCTTCTCTGTTCGCAAACAGCAGGTCCAGCAGGGCACCTTTGCTTATCGGGTCCTTCCCCTGCTGTGTCACGACGTTATCTTCCACACAGTCCAGGAACTTCCAGGACTGTTCCTTCTCTGCTGTGTTGTATTTCCAGCAGATATCCAGGAAGTTGAAGTCCCCCACGAGTACAAGGGGAAGTAAACACAAGGCTTCTTCCAGCTGCTTATGGAATATTTTGTCTTTCTCTTCATCCTGGTTTGGTGCTCTGTAACAAACTCCCACTATATCTGACTTGCTGGCCTTCCCCTTGATTCTCATCCATAAACACTCAACCCTATTGTCACAATTGTTAAGCTCTGGACAGTCAAGGCCTTCCTTAACATACATGGCCAGCCCACCACCTTTCCTTCCTTGCCTTTCCCTTCTGAAGAACTTATCTATGGCAGCACTCCAGTTGTGTGACTCATTCCACCATGTTTCCATGATAGCTACTGTATCGTAGTTACCCCAATGCACAACGGCTTCCAGTTCCTCCTGCTTATTGCCCATGCTGTGTGCATTACTGCAGACACTCTTCAGTCGGGCTCAAGGTCCTGCCACCTTTTCACAGGGAGAAGTCAGGCGCTTCCATGGTTACTAACACTTCAGTGACCCTTGCACCTTGGTTCCTGCATGGAACTCCATCCCCTACCTCCACTAGGACAGTAGTCCGAAGTCTCTCACTAGCGCACCATATGCAACACATGTCAGCGCTTCACCAACATGGTCTAGTGAGTTGTGTCATACCCACCTCACCCCCCCATCCTTCAAATCTAGTTTAAAGCCCTGTCTATGAGACCTGCAAACTCTTGCCCCAGGATCCATTTCCCTCTTTGAGACAGATGTACTCCATCTGTTGCCACCAAAGCTGGTAAAGTGTAAATTGATCCATGATTAAAAAACCCAAAGTCCTGCTTGTGGCACCAGTCTCTGAGGCAGGCATTGATCTGCTGGCTCTTTCTGTTTCTCGCCTCAGATCTCCCTGCAACTGGTGAAATAGAGAACACTACTTCTGCTAATGAGATATGTTGATGATGTAGAGGATTATCAGTACAG